TATATATATAAACATAAACATGCTTGCTAAAACAAAAACTGAGCAAACAAGGACGAGTGTAGCGTACACGTACAAGATGGCTGATCACATGCGATGCTGTCTTCGCGTCTGTGGCTTGGCAGGTGATATCACGTGTGCGATCGTCAAGGCAACCACACATGAGGTGTGGATCAACAGCTCGCCTTGTGTCCGTTCGTCTACACACTCTGTTTGTTTTAATTCACAGCCTGTTCACAACCTATTCGATTCTCTTGTTGTCTGAGTGGTTACTGTTACCACTAAGATGAAGCTACGTTCAGTGGAATGCAGTAGACTTGCACCGCCCTGTCTCTTTCTCTCTCTGTCTGTCTCTGTTAGTCTCTGTCTCTCTTTCTCCTTCTCTTTCTCTCTCAGGAAGAAAAGAAAGCAAAGGAGGGAGGAAGATGAGGAGGAGGAAGAGGAGGAGGAGGAAGAGGAGGGGGAGCAGCAGAACTTTTCTCCCGAAAGAGAGAGAGAGAGAGAGAGAAAGAGAGAGAGAGAGCGAAAGAGAGAGAGCGCGCACGCACGTGCGAGAAAGAAGAGCGCATGAATGAAACTTGGCAAGCTGTAATTTGGCACACGGGGACATGAGACAGGATATAGAGGCAGGTGCAGTCACGTTGTGTCCCTCCACATCCCAAATTACGATAACCCCTCTCCCCTTCCCCCTCCCCTTCCCCCTGTGCAAGAACATATATGTTAAAATCCGTGCTTGTAATCGACAGTGGCTACATCCCATGCAGTAAGTATTTACATGTATTCCCAACCAGGTCCACCACCTCCTCCACCTCCTCCTCCTCTTCCTCCTTCCCTTCATCCCCGCCCTACTTCTACTACTTCTCCTCCTCCTCCTCGTCCTCCTCCTTTCCTTCTTACTCGTCCTCCTCTTCTGCGGCATTCCCCGCTAGGAGATGCAGCACTGGTTCCCGCCCAGTTCCTTCTCCTCCTCCTCTTCCTTCTCCTCCTCCTCCGCCTCCTCCTCGCGCGCCTCCCCCGCCGCCCCCACCACCACATCATCATCATCATCGTCGAGCAGCGCGTGTTCGTAGGTGGCGCCAGCAGCAGCGCTCACTGCGCTCGTGCTTAGCGGCGCAGCGTCTTCCGGGTTTGTTGTTTCGAGGAGCGGCGGTGACGGGGTCCGGCGGGGGCGGGGACGACTCGCGACGCATCGCTCTAACATCATCGCCTGCTGGCGGATGAGCGCGACGAACGGCCGGTAGCCGAGGCTGAAACAAGCGAACATCCATCGTAAAACAAGTGAACGCTGGCAGTATAACAAGCGAACATGCAACGAACGCCAAGGATAGCTCGTCGCAAAAAAAAAAAAAACGCTGAAAAATCGCGACACACAATCGACGGTCGCCGTCGTCTTCCGACGCCGGCGGTGAAACAAGTGAGCGTGCAACGACGAAGGCGAGACTCACCACACGGTCTTGGCCCACAGCTCTAGGAAGGCGAGACCGTCGCGGCTGCGCGCTATCACGTCTGTCGGCACGTCCGGAGCGGTGGCGGCGCGGGCGACGCGCGACACGGCTAGAGCGTCGCGTAGCAGCACGGTGAGAAGCAGCGCCCACTCAAAACATCCCGCCTCCACCACCATCTGCAGCAGGTACCTGCAACGACGACGACGACGATGATGATGATGATGATGATGATGATGATGAAACCATAGTGTAGTAGAAGATGAAGGCATGAATAAATAAAAAATATATAAATATACACGTTGTTGTGAGAGACGCGAAGGAAGAGACGTGTGTTCTCGATAGCTCGGAAAATAAACACACCTCTTTCTTTTTTATATTCATATTACATACGTATATATATATATATATATATATATATATATATATATATATATATATATATATATATTACAACAATGACAATGATAATAATAATAATAATAACACAAATTCATTACAATATATTATTACATGAATTACAATTAACTAATTTATTTGTTTATTCATCATGGTCCGAGGAATCACGACAGCGCAGTGAGTAAGATGGCAGCAGCATCACTGACCTTAGTTCGACCTCCATGTTGGGTGGCCCCCTGGTGGCGAGTTCCTGCGTCCACTGCTCGAGCGCGCACGCATCCTGTATGTCGTCTGCTACCGTCACATCCTCCGCCTCGCCCGCCAGCGAGCTGTCCTCTGTCGTGCCGTGGCTGTGCGAGTCTGAAAGCACGGCAGCGCCATCTATAACCGCATGTCAATTATGATTACTTTTAGGTAATGTATTGTAATGTAATATAATGTAATTTAGGTGTTGTTTTTTTAGTTTTGTTACAAATTAAGTAATATTTTCTTCAGCCAGTTCGAGATTTTCTGAAAGCGACTGTGAGCGTCTGCCTGCCAAAGTCAAACAAACAACTCTAACCAGAGATAAGTGAACGCCTGTCACCAAAAACAAATGAGCATCTCTCGCCAAGGAAAAGCAAACAACTTTCGCCAAAGACAAACAAACTTAACCAAAGACAAGCAAACGTCTCTCGCCCAAAAACAAAACACCCCCAACCGAAAAACAAGCAAACAACATCTCTCACCGAAGTGCATCGGCTGCGGTTCGAGGAACGCCTCCAGCGTCTTGGACGCGTCGTCAAGCGGCGACATCTCCGCGTCGTCACGCCCCCTGGTGTGCAGATAGTGCGGCGCGGAGAAGGAGAACGAGTTGGAGCTCGCTAGCAACACATCGTCGTCGTCGTCCTCCTCCGTCAAGAGGGCGCTGAGATCACTCTCGCTGTACATGGTCACCATCGACTCATTCTTCCTGCTATCTGCGAGAGACGGGAGAGCGTCGGACGATGGTTAGTTATATATGTATATGTATATGTAATAACATAGGTAATAATTATAGCAAACATAGGTAACATACGTAATTATATCATGGAATATTATATTATAGACACCGCAGTAAGTTTATACGTTTCAAAGTTCATTATGGAGGGTATTCCATATCTATATTCTATTCGACACGCATTGTATATCTATATTATATGTTCTATCTTCTATTCGACATGCATTCTATATCTATATTATATGTTCTATATTCTATTCGACATGCGTTCTATATTGCAGCTTACTCGACATGCGTTGGAAGGTCTGCAGCAGGCTCGGGGAGGCTATCGGATACGGCCACTGAAAATCCTCATGAAGTCTCTTCAGCGTCGTCACGAAATCTTCAATCTTGGCCGCTCTGTTTCTGCAAATTATGTAGAAATCGGACGTGCGAGAATCAACGAAACCTTTGTGCGGTGCGCAAGTAGGTGCGCTGCGTGCGCGAGATGCGAATTTAGGCATGCGAAATTTAGATGAGCAACTGAGCCGGCACGGAAAAGACCAGATCATTGTGGGATCATCGCTATGACTGGCACACACATGTATGCGTGCGTGTATGCATGACATGAGAGTGTGCCTGCCTGCATGTGTATATATGTGCACGAGAGGGTGCTTGCATGCATGTTTGTGTNGGAGAAAGAGATTGAGAGAATGAGAGAGAGAGAGAGAGAGAGAGAGCGAGAGAGAATGAGAGACAGCGAGAGAGAGAATGAGATAGAGAGTGAGAGAGAATAAGAGAGAGAGAGAGAGAGAGAGAGATATGAGAAAAGTATAGCGAACCAATCATATTAACCAAAATGCAACATTTCACTCGCTTACCTATTGCCCTGAGAAATCGAGTAATATCTTTTGAAAGCTCCCATTGTCCTGCCTCGAGTGTTGCATCCAGAAGCATTGTAGCGTGCTACGGGAGAAAGACACATTCAGACAAACGCAGTGGCCACGATTCGAAATTTTAACCGAAATTTGCGAAATACGTCGATAATAGTTACATTATCGGTGAGTAGATGGCGGCACCGTACCTGTCTGCTGATGGCAATGGGCTCCAGGTTCTGTAGAATGATGAGGTACGATGCTGCAGTTTCCAGCTTTCCTGTCTTCAGACATTCCTGCACGCACAAACGTCACCATGGGTGCGTGCGTGTTGTCGTCACCATCACAACACGCACGCACGCACAAACGTCACCATCACAACACGCACNGGTGAGCAGCTTGCGTGCGTGACGACACAGAATCACGTCAATGAAGAGACCGTCGCCGCCACACGACGTCTCGCTACCCGCGCGCTCCTTCAGCGAATCACGGCTGCCGGACTGTCCCCGCAGACTGTAACAATAATGACGACGACGATGATGATGATGATGATGATGATGATGATGATGATGATGATGATGATGATGATAATGATAACAACGATGATGACGATGATGACGATGATGATGATGATTAGCAAGGTTACAAACTTGACTACGACTACAACCATGACCGTGATGATGACAACACCAACGGCACGACGCGCGGCTATGACCTGAGATGACGAACAACTGGACGGCTATACCGTGATGATGACGACAAACGACGGCTTATGACCGTGATGATGACGACCACGACGGCTTATGACGGATGATGACGACACACGACGGCTTATGACCCGTGATGATGACGACAACAGACGGCTATGAAACCGTCGATGAGTGACGACAAACGACGGCTATGACCTGTGATTGATGACGACAAACGACGGCTATGACGTGATGAGAACGACAATCGAACGCTATGACGCGTGATGATGACGACACAGACGAGCTATGACCATGATAAAGACGATGACGACGGCTAATGACCGTGATATACATGACGACGGACTATGAACCGTGATAATGATGACAAAAACGACGGCTATGACGCGTGATGATGACGACAACGACTACAACGCATGACCTGATGATGACGACACCGTGATGATGACGACCCCTCACCTCCCGCGCACGGGGATCGTCCGCGGCTCGCTCTTCGTCCGCGTCTGCTTCTCGGCGACTACCGTGGCGCCCTCTTCCAGCATGCCGGCGACGTTGGTCGCGTGTCCGCGGCCGGCCAGCGCCGGGTTGTTGAAGAGGAACGTGGCGCCATCTACGGGCGGCGATGACAGCGATGGGTATTTGACGGTCGATCCGGCGGCGGAGTAGAGCGGGGTGCGCGGCGGCGTCTCCTCCTCGTTAGGATCTACGCCGAGGTCAAAGGTCAAGTTGGCATTAGATAGAAAGAGAGAGAGAGAGAGAGAGAAACAAAGGATAGAGATACAGAGAGAGAGACACACAGAGAGCGAGAAAGACACAGAGAAAGAGAGACACATAGAGAGAGAGAGACAGAATGAGAGTGAGAGAGAGAGAGAAGTGGGAGAGAGAGAGAGAGAGAC